CCTTCTTTCTCTCTCTCCCTCCTTCCCTCCTTCCTTCTTTTTTTCCTTCTTTCCTTCTTTTCTTCTTTCTTTCTGCATAACATTTTCTTCAAAGAGTGGGAATGACTCTCTGATTAAAGTAATTTTTCTAAATTTAGGGTCTAGAATAATGTGTCCTAATAAACTATTTAAAACCAATTTGTAGACACAAAGCCAAAGACAGAAGAACACAGCAGTCTGCTCATAGCAAGCCAAGAAGTGAAGCTTTGTATCATGTTCTCATTTTTCATTTATTTATTTTACCTTCTTTCATTTGAAAGTATTTTGATCCAAGAAAAGGTTGGACTAAATAACCTTTGAGGTCGTTTTCAACTCTAAAAGTCTATGATTTTATGCACCAATCAGAATTATGGCAGCAGTCACTATTGGTAGGTGGGATCCCAAAAGACAGAGATTGAAACTTTGATATTCCTTATACAGGGAAGGTGGAGAATGTGAGAGAGCCACAAAATGGAGGGCATTGGATAGTTTACTGGTAATCAGACGAAGAGTGTATATATCTACTGGTCACACAAGGTGACATTACTCAATTTTTTGACCTGACATGAAGCCTAGGAAGGATGTTTGTCCAAAATAGTGTGGTAGAGATGGGGCAAGAGAATGAATTCTCCCTGGGATATACATTCTCTCTCCTTGTGTTCACGCTCAGGGCTTTTCCTATGCGTGTAAACTGAATACAGAAAAATTTCCCTTTAGCTATCTCAAAATAATGTTCTATATGACCTATGCTAGGCAAAATCTTGAAACAGGCTGACCTTGTCTTACACTCCCTTTATTCCTCTCACCTCCCATTCTTCTGCCATAGAAACAAAGGATTTAGAACTGGAAGGAACCTTAGAAATCTAGTCCAATTCCCTTTTCTCTGAGGAAAAGGGCCATAATTTATGCTTTTTTTGTATGTTCTTCCCACTTCACTCTAGTGCCCAGCATATTATAGAGACCACAGCAGGCACTTAATAAATACTTAAAAAAAAACTGAATCATGGTGTTCAGCATTCCAGACTTTGTAGAAGACCTGTAGATAAAGCCACAATTTTGGTCTGACAGTGGTATGGAGGCATCATGTCTTCTTTCATCTCTACTTTCTGAATGGTTTCCTTTCTGTCAAGTCTGGAATTAACTGCTCAGAGTGAGTGATCTCCATAACCACCAACAAAGTAGCTTTGAGATGCAGAATGGCTGGTTATTATTATTGGTAATAAAGATAACAATACTAGTTTTCATTTCTCTAAAGTTCTGAAATCTAGAAAGTGCTTTACAGGCACAGGAGTGCTGAAAAATGTTTAACAGCAGTTTATTAAAAAAAAAAAAAGAAAGAGAGAGATTACTTTTAAGTGCTCTTGGCCCTGAAGTCATAAAGACTCATCTTTCTGTGTTCAAATCTGGCCTGAGACACTTACTAACTGTGCGTCCCTGGGCAAGTAACTTAACTCTGCTTGCCTTAGTTTCCTCATTTGTAAAATGAGTTGGAGAAGGAAATGGTGAATCACTCCATTATCTTTGCCAAGAAAATCCCAAATGGGGTCACAAAGAGTTGGACATGATGGAAATGACTAAACAACAACACAAATGGCATACTTTTAAGTTTGGTTTGCATTATTAACATTTTCTCTATCACTTTCTTAAGTCTAGACAATCAACAAAACAATAAATCAAATACTAATGTGTAGTGTTTGCCAATTTCTCGGGTGTACACATTTACATTGAAAATTCAACAACTGGCATTTCTGAGTTGACACAAGCTAGCTCCAGCACTCCTTTGTTTATAAGTGTTATTTGATCCTTACAACTCTTTATTGTATTTCATTTTAATTTTCACATTAGTCATGTTGTAAAGAAGAATTAGAACTAATAGGAGAAACCACAAGAAAGAAGAAACAAAACAAAACAGAAGAGAGAAAAAAAAGAGCAAATAGTATGCTTCGATCTGCATTCAAACTCCATAGTTCTTTCTTTGGATGTGGATAGCATTTTCCATCACGAGACTTTTGAAGGTATATTAGATCCTTGCATTGCTGAAAAGAGCTAAGTCTATCAAAGTCAGTCTTCATACAACATGGCTGTTACTGTGTACAGCGTTCTCCTGGTTCTGCTCACTTCACTCAGCATCAGTCCATACAAGTCTTTCCAGGTTTTTCATTTCTTATAGCACAATAATATTCCATTACATTCATATACCACTTGTTCAGCCATTCCCCAATTGATGGGCATCCCCTCAATTTCCAATTCTTTGCCATCACAGAAAGAGCTGCTATAAATATTTTTGCACATGTAGGTCCTTTTCCTATTTTTTGTGATCTCTTTGGGATACAGCCCTAGAAGTGCTATTGCTGGGTCAAAGGGTATGCACATTTTTATAGCACTTTGGGCATAGTTCCAAATTGCTCTCCAGAATGGTTGGATAGGTCCACAATTCCACCAACAAGGCATTAGTGTTCCAATTTTCCCACTTCTTCTCCAACATTTATCGTTTACCTGTTTTGTCATGTTGGCCAATCTGATAGGGGTGATGGATCCTCACAACTCTTGATGGTGCCATTAGCATCTCCATTTTGTAGTTGAGGAAACTAAGACTGAGAATTTAAGTAACTTGCCCAAGGTAACAAAGCTGATATATATTTGGGACAGAGGCTGAACTCAGTTCTTGGGTCCTGTCCAGTTATTCTATACTCTACCTGTGTTCATGACTACCCCTGACACATTAGCAAGCTACTTCTGAACCAAATTTCCTTCTCTGAAGAAATGGGCAAAAATCAGTACCTCTCCCAGGTATGCTGTAGAGGCAGTATAGTAATTAGAGAGCTGAACTTGGAATGAGAAAGACCCATGACCAACACTCACCTCTGACACATATTCCCTGTGAGACTCTGGGCAAGTCACAACCTCTTGGTGCTCTAGGCAACTCTGAAAGACTAGAAGTTACAGTGAAAATGCCTGAATTGGTAAGAGAGCTTCCTCATTGTAAGGGGAAGTCTCCTCATTGGAAGTAGGAGTCTCCTCATCCAGGAGTTCCCTACACCAGTGGAAATTGGTCCAGTACCTATTTCTACCTGTATCACAGGACTGGATTGTTTTTGGTCCCAACCTGTGATTTCCCTGGGGTAGAGAACTCCCAAAGAAGAATTGTCTTTACCAATTCAGATCATCAATTACCCTGCAGCTTACATCCTAAGAGAGCTGAATGGAACACTGAAATGTTAGATGATTTGTCTAGGTTTATAAAGTCAGTGTATAACAAAGGTGGGACTTGAACCCAGGGGCTCCTTACTCTGAGTCCAGCCCAACTATCAACTATGCCAGGTGGCTTTACAGGATTCTTATGAGACTCAAATGAGGTACTGCACATCAAACATCGCAGTTAAAGTTAGGTATTAGTGTTTTACTACTGGGATTTCAAAGCTATAGACAAAAAGTACAGTCAACAGCTATGTGATTAGAACAATATCTTAGCTTCATGTCATACTTACTCCAGAGCCCCTTTTAAGTTTCAATAACAATTGCCCTACCCTGGGGCACAATGCTGCACCAGAGAGATTCTGTCTACAACCACCCCTACCTAGGCCCATGGTGGCCTTTGGTTGGTGAGTTTGGGATATTTCCTTTCCTGATGACAGAACAGGCTTGGTAGGCATCCCAGATAAATAAACATTCACAAGCTTATGTTGTGTCTAGCTTAGATTTTCTTAGCATCTAGTCCTAAAACAAAAGCAAAAAATACCTGATTAAAGAAGTAAAATGTTCATATTCATTACATAAAATATATAGATGCTGTTCTTGTATTAAAGAGTCTTAACACATAACTGATTCATTTGAACATAGCTTCTGCATTTTTCATGTGTTAAGTCTGAGGAAACTCAATAACTCCCTGGAAACTATGCCAATGGTTTCAGTCTTAGTCTTCTAGACCAACAAAGTCCCAAAAATATTTCATTATCTTTTAATAGTTTATATGGGATGGAGGTTGCCTCCATGCTAAGGATGGATTCCTTCCTTACCTAACCCACCCCTTTTTAGAACCCACCCCTTGAATCCTTTTTTTAAAAATTTAAAAAAAATTTTTAGGTAGTTGAGGTTAAGTGACTTGCCCAGGGTCACACAGCTAGTAAGTGTCAAGTGTTTGGTCTGAGGATGGATTTGAACTCAGGTCCTCCTGACCCCTTGTTTACTTGAAAACTCTACTCAAGTACCATTTTGTACATGAAGCCTTTCCTGATTCAGCTACTACAGTCCTCCTTCTAAAAACTGATCTTGTATTTATTCTGCAAATATGTTAAGCACGCTAATGCATGTACATGCTATTCTTGTCATTAGAATGTTGATCAACAGATAATTTTTTTAAAACTACAATAGTTCATTAAAGTAGTCTATAAAAGAAGTATTGTAATTTAAATTAGAAGTAGACATACCTATCTGAATGAAATCATGGCTCCTTGAAGAGTTAAAGTCTAGGCCCAAACAGCATCTTGCATATTAGTAGGTTTGTTGATTGAATGATACTTATAGTCCACCAGGAATAATTGTTTAGAGAATCACACAACAAAAAATCCAATTCTGAGTCAAAGAGTAATTCTTACTGTTTGGTAGGACTTTGAAGGTTTAACGAGAATGTGTCAAGCCTGAGATTAGTAACAGAAGGCCTAGATATTTCAGAGCCAGTTTGTTTCTCACTTTCTTTTAATGAACTGGAAAAGGAATAAAGGAAGAAAACAAGCATATGGACTATATGGGGAGATAAAGAGATGGGGGTAAGCATTTAGAAAAGGCAATGAGAATGGGACATGGGGAAAAGGACTATTTTCATCACTTCCTAGCATCTAAAACAAATACTGGCATCAAACATTTTGTAAGATCTTCCATGGAAGGTAATGTTTGAACACTTGGAGCAGAATGGCAAGGGTCTCTGGGAGAATAATTAACTTAATTTGACTGTTTTTTTGTTGATGGTCCTTTTCTCTTGTATGAGTCAATAAAGCTTGGGGCTTTGGGACACACAGTCTTCTGGATCCTGCCAGTCAACCCCAAAATGGAATATGGGAAAATAGTCTTTCTCTTTCTTTTATTTCTTAAATCAGGTAAGACTTTGAAAAATATTTATTTTAAAGGAATGTGTAATTTTAAGAGCATCTAAGTTTTCCTTTTTTTTGTAATTTCAAAATTTTTTTTCTAGGAAAGAATAAGCATGTTGTGAGTGCTTGAACAGTTAAGACTCAACAATACCTTTGAATACTCTTCTAGCTTGACTTAATATAAAAATGATTCTTGAAATGACTTTATGTATAAATTGGTTCTTTCAGCATTTGGTCCAGTGAATTTTCAGGCCAAAAGGTGGCAGAAAACTGGAGAACTTATCAGGTGATGATAGCAATTTCCCCATGAGTATTGTCAAAATACTAGAGATAAGTGGGGTAGAGAGGAAAATGAATTACTTTCCAGGTTCCAGTATCCTTAAAAAGGAAGGTTAGACAACATAGCCAAACCAGTCATTTGGCATTCAAAAAAAAGTTTGGTGAAGTGATCAATAAATAGATTCCATTATTATAGCTCTTAATTTATTTAAATTAGAACATTTTCAGAAAAGGTTTCTCTTTAAGACAAATTTAAAATATCATTTTGAGCATTATAGTATATTCTTTAAAATTAGGTCCATATAAAGGAAAAATAGGACCCTAGACATAGTTGTAGGATACCTCAAAGACATATAATTATGGTACGTGTGTGTGTATAGTATAATTGGATGTCCAGATAGGAAGATATAAAAAGTGGGATAGTGGTTCAATACCCCCCTATAGCAACAACTCTGTCTCAGAGGTTCCTTAGCTGGACTTTCCATTTTACTACTCAATATAATCTGGGTTTTTTGTTTTATTTTAGTGAACTGTTAGAACAATCTGTTTTCTTGTTTCTCATACCATGAGCATTCCTCAAAGGTAAATTAGAAATATTTTACAAAGATTCAGACATAAAGACAGTCTTTATGGTTTGTCTTTTTCAGTGTTCTGTATGAGCTAACTAATTTCTCACGGTATTTCATTATAAAAAAGATGCTTGGATAGATGTTCTGGGGTTGACATAAATGAGAAGATAGAAAATTTTTTAAATGTTTTTTTTAAAAAACTGTAGTCAAGCACTTGTTTATATTGCTAGCTTTCCAGAAGAAAGAAAAGCAAATAGAGGTCAGATAAGGAATAAGCAAATAGCTATTTATGGGAAATGAAGGTGTGTTCTAGCAATCTGAACACAGGTTAGAAAAGTAGGCTGAAACATTCGTATGTCAGTGCATCACACACACACACACACACACACACACACACACACACACACACACGAGATACTGCTTACCTTAGCCAATCTAAAAGAAAAAATTCTTTAAAAGCGCGCATCTTTTTAAATACCAGAATTTATCTTCACATTTATCCTTCTTTAAAAATATTTTTTTAATTAAAATGGGTTTTTTTGCCCTTCAGTGTCATTTTTCTAGAGCATGAAAACAGCTCTTCCAAATGAATTGGAATGAACATTTTACATCTGCATTTAGCTGATGTACAAGTATTTTACAATTTTGCAAAAATAAAAAAATCTATTATTTAGTTTTAAAAATGCACTTGTTTCAGTAACAATACATTCTCACCTTGGGTTTACTCCATGAAAATATTTTTTGCTGCTAAAATAGATAGTCTTATGTTACCCCATGAATTCAAATTCGTTCTAGAGTACAACAGCCTTGAGAAAGTGAGAAAATAGACAAGCTGAACACGTGATATCACTTGGAAAGGGCCAAAGTCAACCCCAAAATTCAAAAGAAGAAGACATTCTAGAGTTGATTCTTATTTATCTGGAATATAAACTCTGAAACTGGTTCTTTTGTGGTATCTTCTCAGTATCTTCGCAGAGTATATTAGGTTGGATATTTTCAATACATTCTTAATGGTGAATAATAAATCCTGTCTCTCCTTTTAGTCCTGTTGCCTTTTTGACTGTCTAGAGAACTTCATGAAGTCTTAACTCACTTTCTTAAGAGATTTATAGTTATTTTACAAAGTGTCCTGATCTACAAAATTGCTAGCTAAACTTTCTGGGACTCTCTGGGATCTTAGCCTGGAACACAATGTGGACATTGTAGCATATGGTTTTCTTTAAACTTTCTGTAATTAAATCAATCAATTAAGCTGCTTGCTATGTGCCAGGCACTATGCTAAGTGCTGGAGAGACAAAAAACAAAAACAAAAAACACCAAAGACAATCCATGCCCTCAAGAAACTTACATTCTAATTGGAGAGGACATACATAAATCTGTACTTAGAAGATAGCTACAGAGCAGATGAAATAGTACAGGGGAAGGCATTAGCAGCTCAGATTGGGAAAGGGCCTTCTGCAGGATTAAGCTGAGTCTTAATTGGTGATTAAGCCAGGATTCTAAGACTCAGAGGTTAAGAGGGAGAATATTCCAGGTATGTGGCAGATGGAACATTGGATGGGACAATGAGCAAATAAGCTATTAGTACAGCACCATGAATACGTGGAAGAGATTACTATGTAAAGAAGACTGAACAAATAGGAAAGGTTCAGGTTGTGATCATGTCTAAATGTCAAACCATAGAGTTTATGTGATCCTAGAGGTAATACCTTTTATCAAAGTCTTAAGGTTTTATCTCAAGATTCATATATAGTCAGTCATCCATTCAGTCATTCATTGCTGGGGGTGTCTCAAATTAAGAAGAATGAAAAATGAGATCTTCAGGTAGAGGTTAGGTGACTACTTATTTGGATATTCAGGTAGGGATTGGTTGGATGAGATGGCCTCTGAGGTCATTTATAATTCTAACATCTCAAGTTCTAGAAGGACATGTGCTACTTCCATCTCCCTGGCATAGTATCATTATTTGAAATTGGATATTCAGACCTAGTGAAAGATAAGGCTTTAAGTCACTAATACAGCCATGTAACAATTAAGGTTAGGGTGGCTCAGAAATAGATTAAAAGCTCCAGAGTAGACCAGTTCTATAAGCCATCTCAAAAGAAACTTGGATTGGGTAGCAACTGGAAAGAAATGCAAATTAATTTAATTAATTATTAATAATTGATTAAAGTTTAATAATAAACCAACATGAATTAAAATTAATAAAGTAAAATAAATTAATAATAGTGGCAAAATAATGAGTAAAGGTAACAAAGAAGGTTAACATCAGGAAAAGATGGAAGGTGAGCTGTGCCATGATGATAAGGGTGGGATGGGAATAGTAGGGTAGTTAATGGGTCCTCAAGGTCTACATCTGCTTTGTTTCAGCCTATGCTTATCATCAATCTGCCAAATCAGCTTTCTTTTTTCTTTTCAAACTTCAGTAACCAAAGTGGAGATTTTCCTCTCCTAACCCCACACTCTCACAACATACTCACCAACTTTTAGATGAGAAAGAGAAGGTCTCAGTAACGTTCAACCTATGAGATCCTCTGTCTTCTGAATTTAGCTGAGAGGCAACAGTCAATCTCATGCTTCCCTGCAGGTAGGCAGATCCTTCTGGGAGAAAAGGTAGACTGCTAGAGTAAGTTTAAAATGCAGAGAATGAGATGAAGGAAAGGATGTGTAACACTAATCTTGGGAAAGTTGTTGAATAAAAGCATTTATATCGTACATGATTTTAAAACTTATCTATTAAGCATGAATATTATTTAACCTGTATTAGAGGTTGACAGGATGGACACTAGGCTCTTTAGATGGGTAAGGTGTTAGAAGTCTGGGATGGATTTTTCTCTTGGTTTGGCATAGTCCCTGGCACATGGTAGGAGCTTAATAGATGTTTCTTGAACCAAATTGAATGGATTGACAGTCATGTTGGGGTGCTAACTCCTCAAAAATCATGTCCTGGGACACATATGTTAAGAATTGCCATTTTCTAATGACTGATATGGCTTTGTGGAATCTGCAGCTCTAAATGTCTTTAGGAGATGGCAGCCTCTCACTGAGGTCAGGAACTTTAACTTTTGCCTTTGTATTCTCAGTGCTTAACATAACACAGCACATAGTGGGTATTTAATAAATGATGGTTAGTTATTGAATTTTCAACTAAAGGTCTCTAGCAGCTCAGGGGACCCGGTAATATGCATTCCAAATTCCATATTGAGGAGCAAGGCTCTTGGATCCTCTTACCTTAGAGATTCCAGGGACTATGAAGGGGTGGGATTTCTACACAAACCTCTGAGGCCACACAGTTAACATCAAGATGGCCCTGGAAATACAGTATTATTCTTGTACCTCAAAGGGCTAGCAAGTGCTGCTGTTGTGTGAGACTTACAAGATCAAATCAGGAGTACTCAAAGGAGGGGAAACATGACAAAGAAGGTTCTCTGATTTATCACAGAATCTCAGACTTGAGAGCAACCTAGAAGTCTTCAAGTACATTCTGAGTATCAGGGCAACTAGGTGGTGCAGTGGATAGGGCACCAGGCTTAAAGTCAGGAAAAGCTGAGTTCAAATCCAGCCTCATACACTTACTGGCTGTGTGACCCTGAGTAAGTCACTTAACCCAGTTTGCCTCGGTTGTCTTACCTGGATGAACTGGAGAAGGAAATGGCAAACTACTCCAATATCTTTGCCAAGAAAACTCCAAATGGGGTCATGAAGAGTTGGATGTGACTGAACAACAACACACATCCTGAGCAAGAATCTCGTTTACAACATACTCAAGTGAGCTTTTAGCTTTTGTTTGAAAAACTTTCAGTGAGTGGGAAATACCCATAGGAGATTTACTGAAGGGCCTGGGAATATCTGGTTTGGAGAAGAGAAGGTAGAGGGAGAGGTAAAACTTTTTTTTTTAATTTAACCACAGAAGGCAAAATTAGGAATAGTGAATGGAAGCTACCAAGAAGCCAGTTGAGGCTGAAATAAGGAAATATTTCCTGCTAGTTAGTTATCCCAAAGTGCAAGGAGATGTCTTAGGATGTAGCAGCTTTTCCTTCACTGGTCATATTTCAAGCAAAAGGTTTTTTTTCTCTGTATGTGTATTTTATAGAAGTAATTCTTTTTTTTGTTTGTTTTTTTAGAAGTAATTCTTGATCACAGATTATGACTCTAGCTCTGGAAGGAACTTCAGAGATTATCTTGTGCTATTCTTTCATTTTACACATAAGGAAATTAGGCCAAGGAAGTTACATGACTGGTCCAAGCGCATACAGGTAGCAAGCATCAGAGAAGCAAGTCAAGACTGCAAAGCCACTGCTGCTGCTTTCACTGGACAATGTAGCTTCCTTCACTTATGCACTCCAATTCTGAGATCCTGTGAATTGTTATCAATTGCCCCATAGCACCTATAATACTTACCAACACTCCCTCTTCCCCAGGGCATACTCAAAGTACTTAATGATACTTGTTGATTCTACAAAAACAAGCACATACCTAAGTAAATATTCAGATACTCTTTGTCAGGGGTCGTAGTAGTAGTTGATGCACTGGTTGTCTTGGGAAGTCTAGACTAGAATGTAGAGATTCTTAAAGCATTTTTTTGGGGGGGTCATGACTCTCTTTGGCAGTTTGGTGAAGCCTATGGACCCTTTCTCAGAATAATATTTTTAAATGCATAAGGTAAAATGCGTAGGACTAGTGCTCTGGGGACAAATTATTTAAAGCTCACGTCTAGGTCTGCCCAAAGGGCTGTGTACTCAGGTAAAAGGTACTCAGTGTAAAGTGTAAATTAGCTATGGGACAGGTATTTTATTAATAAACACAGAAGAATGCTAAACATGAAAGACAAAGTAGAGCATTGTTAGAATGACTTCAAACAGGATTCAGTAACTTATAACTACTCTTACTGTCTGCTGGAAGACTGATATTAGATATCATCAGAACATGCAGTAGTGCTGATCAGACATGTTAGATTTCACCTTGGCTCTCATTGGTCCTCTTCAAAAACGAAGGACAAACAACAATGCTGTATTCCTCTAAGTCTACATTGTCAGAGTATTGTTCTCTTCTTATTGGTGATCATCTTCTCTTATTAAGAAAACTCATTACCATGAGTCAGCTTCATTCAGTGAGCCCAGTGGCTCCAAGAAGCTGTAGCATTTGCAGTGGCCACACCCTGGAAAACCATCTAAGCAGACAGGCTAAACCAGGTTGAGAGTAACAGACAGGCTTCAGACCTATTGGTGAGTTAGTGGGATGTCTACTCCATGCATGTGAAGACTTTCTGGGTGGATGAGAACAGTTTGTTCCAACAGCCATGAAGCAGGCTCTGTGGAGCGCATAGAGCTTGGTCAGGAATCCATGTTGCCAAGGTCATTCACTGAATCCTGGAACATAGCCAATCATTTTGACTTTTGTCCTGCCACTGGATTTTGATGACTTAGGAAAAGAGAGTGAGGCTGATGATTTCATAACTCTGCCTCACTTAAATCCAATTCACTCCCAAGTCGAGACAACACCCATGATGTCATTGGTCCTAATGTGAAGGATGAACAATAAGACCTCTTGAACTCCAAGCCTGGACATGTCCACTTGAGATTGATGTTCAGGAAAGGAAACACAAAGGAGAAAAGGAAGCTGGGGCCCAGATGCCGCATGAAAGCAGTATCCATGATGCTTAGGCGGGGAAGGGCCAACCTATTCCCACTCCTTGTTGCAAGTTCCCTTTGATGCCACCTAGATGGGCAAAGGAGGAGTGAATCAGCCAGAAACTGTCTTTCTTTTTAACTGGTACAGCATTGTAGTCTCCTGCCACTGTCACAAGGTGAGGAACAATGGACCACTCAAGGGTTTTTGCTTCATCCTGAAGTGACCAGTCCATTCAGTGCTAGGCTAAGCAGTCATGAAGTTCATCATCCTCATAACATCCAACCACTGAGTCGTCATATTAGAGTCCTCAGAAGTATCCAGAGAGAGCTCCAGACACACAATCACTGGAATGGCTCCTATAGTTCAATTAAACCTCTACTACACATGTATCAATATCATTAAGGATACTTTTGATGACATAGCAATAAAAATAACTGCTCAATGATATTATAATGAAAATCAAGTGAGACATAAAACAGGGAGCTGTTTGATCACCAAAATCATTCTCTATGGTCAGGGAAGTTAGGCAGAACAGAGTCCTGGTCAAAGATGAATTCTTGTGCACGATGAGGCCCTCTAGATCAGAGGCGTCAAAATCTACACTGTATCTGGCCACTGCAGAGCAGCCAAATCAAATTAAAATGTAATTGGGAAATGTTTAACAAAAATAATAAATAATAAAAATGTTTAACAACAATAATAAATAAAATAATAAAAAATAAGAGTATGGTACAACATGGATTACATTAATTTGTGGCTTTTTTAGTCAACGTGACCAGGAAATTTCCTTTCTATTTGAGTTTGACGCCATTATTCTGATCATGCTGATTGCATCAAGCCCCAAAACACTATAGCATCTCCTAGAAGAGAGACCTGTAATCACTCAATGGAGTTGGGTCTATAAATCTACATAGAAAAGACTTATACTTTGTTAGATAGTTTCATGAGTTACTCTGGCTAGAAACATTTGTCACCAGTAGTCAATCTTCTGGTTACAAGCCTTTCTAAACACACATAGCCTGGTCTTTGAATGACAGTCTGTCAATGGGCTCATACAGTCAGTCAGTCAATGAACATTTATGAAGCACTGTGCTTAGCGCGGGGGACATCAAAAGAGGCAAAAGACATTTCCTGCCCTTGAGGAATTCACAATCTAATGGACGAGATGTTTGAAGCTTTCCTGAATTGGTAGGATATGATACCATAGCCTGTGTTTCTCTGGCATGGCCCTCAAGAGTCCAATCACCAAACCATAATGGACCTTCTGAACAAGACTCTAGTGGAGATTTACTTTATCATCTTCATTCAAATAGTAGCATGCTGCTTTACCAAATAGTTATAGTCCATTAGAAGTGCTACTTACTTCATTCAAAAAATTTCTTTGTGGCGAGATTTTTTTTGGATTCACATTAAGCAGCAACTCTATGAAGAACTTTTATGTAGCTTCAGTGGCTTCCCATTGCTGAAGGAATAACAGCCAAACACCTTGGCAAGGAGCCTGATTCAGGACTCCTCGTGTTTTAACTCCCACTTACTTCTCCTTCCTCTGAATTCCAAAGTATTGATGATATTAACTGACTGGTATTTGCTGTTTCTTTGAACAGTTTTCTCTTTTCTTCCCTCTTTAGGACAAGGAGAGCCACTAGAGAGTTACATGAAAACAGAAGGGGCTTCACTTCCTAATTCTCAAAAGAAGCAATTTGAGGCAAGAAGCGTAGAACAATGTGAAGCAAAATGTGAAGAGGAAACTGAATTTGTCTGCAGGTAAGTTCACTTGGGGCCCAACTGCGCATGCATTCTCCTGGTTGAGACACTATTTTGGAGGCAAAGCAAGATTTTACTTAAGGATTTGTTTATCAGCACAAGGTGGATTTAACAAGAAAAAAGAATATGGTGGGGTCATAGGTGGGCGTGAGCAAATAGCATTAGGCTTTTAATCCTCCCTATGTGTCTCAGAGTATGCTTAACTAATATCCAATCTGGAACATTACCAAGAGCAGCACCTTACTATCTAACATGGGCATGTATGCCACTTTTATATCTCCGCATTGCCTACAGAATGAAGTCCAACCTTCTTAGCAAGAGTCCTTCTCAAGGTCCTCTAGGATTTGTCCTCTGTCTACCTTTCCAAGCTTATTTTTCACTAATTTTCCTTTCTCTAAATTTCAGTAGCACTTTGTTACGTCTCTCTGGTACTTATCACATTCTACATTGTATTATGCTATTAGTAGATTATAAGCTGCTAAGACCAGACTTTGCAAAGTAATGCAAAGTGGATGGAAGGCTGGTCTTAGGATCTGGAAGACCTGTTCAAGCCCTGCTTCTGGTACATCCTAGATCACGTCCTCTGTCCTAGATGTATGCGACTTAATCTTCCTAGTAGGCCAAGCAGCATTCTGATACTATAAATTATGGGCAAATGGCCAATCTGTGTCCCTGGAGAGGGTTTCCTCATTAGAAGTTCCCTCCATACTGATAAAATCTCAGGCTCATAACTACAACAAAAAAATCCTTATAGCACCTAGATACGTAATAGTCACATGATAAATTCTTGACCTAATGAATGAATTAATCTCTACGAGAATACCTCTACAGTATGTGTATTGGCCTACTTCATAAACCAGAACTATAGCTACTTAATGACATGGCGACTGACAGTGAGGAATTGGATTGAAGTTTGCTTTTTATGAAAGTAATTCTAAAAATATCATCCATCAATATTTCAGTAGACATGATTTCTACCAATTTAACAAAATAGATCTCTCTCTCTCTCCTCTTCCTCTCCTTTTCCTCTCTCACCCTGCCTCTCTTTATCTCTCTCTTCTCCCCAACCCTTTCCAGCTCTTACCCCCTCCTCTCTCTTTCATCTTCTCTTCTCTTCTCTTCTCTTCTCTTCTCTTCTCTTCTCTTCTCTTCTCTTCTCTTCTCTACTCTCTCTTCTCTTCTCTTCTCTTCTCTTCTCTTCTCTTCTCTTCTCTTCTCTTCTCTTCTCTTCTCTTCTCTTCTCTTCTCTTTTTCTTCTCTCTCCCCCTCTGTCTCTCTGTTTCTCTATCTGTGTGTCTGTCTCTTTCTGTCTCTCTGTCCCTGTCTCTATCTTCGCCCTCCAACCCCCACCCAGAATACATGTTTCAGGCAAATTTTAGCTTGCCATAAATAGGCAAATGAAACACAAATAGATTAATTTACCAAAATAGCTACTATGTCGGGAGTCCAGTTTTAAAGATTGAGCCCTGAATACCCAGGGAGGTACATACAAGAATTCCATTGGACTGTCTTACACAAAGGTAAATGTCCAAATGTTGGGCTTAGCTATTCTAAGTCATGTGATGACAGAGAGGACTAGTGGTGGCCCATCAGTGACACTGAGCCAGAGCTGCCATCTGCTGTTGGCTATCCAGTTTGGGGGCCCAAAAAAGAGAGGGGGAAAGAACAAACACAGTCACTGTGGCTGCGTTTATGTAGTGGAGAGGGAGAAAGGAGGGGGAAAAGGTAAACAGAGTGCCACCTACCCTTAGAGGAGAGAAAAAGTCAAAGTGGAGAGATGAGTGCTGTCTCCTGTCCCCCTCAGCGAGGAGAGAGGAAGAGAGAACACACAGTGTTTGGCTAGTTTCTATGTCTAGAGATGTGCTCCATCTAATTTCTGAATAATGCTCCAGAAGTCAAGGTCACAAATCACCATCATCACTAATAAGCATTTATTAAGTGCCCACTGTATACCAGACACAGTTTCAGGCACTAGGGATACAAAGGCAAAAATCCAACAACCCCTGCCTTTAAAGAGCTTACATTCTCAATGCTAGGTTGGAAAATAGCATCATTTGGATTCTGAAATTAATGCCAGATGTAGTTTAGTTCGCTCTCCAATAAATGATCTGATAGAATTTAGAGCTGTGAAGGACCTCAGATAACCTGCATGCAGTTTCTGGGATATTAGAGATGTTGGTGAGCCTAGGACTAGGAGAACGCAGGTGCTGGTTAAGGCTCTGCCACTAACTATGGGACCTTGGGCAAGTCCCTTCCCCCTTTCTAAGGCCTCAATTTTCCCATTCTGTTAAATGGGAGAGTTGCACTAAGATGATGTCTAAGGACTTCCAGTCTAACGTTCTGCATTCCCTCAAAGGTCATCTTCCTGCCAGCTTCTGACACAAGTACTCCTAAAAGATATTTATGCTGTGCTTCTAATATAACCTCTCTATGTGCTTTCCAATTCTTCAAGGTCAGATTGGAAAATGGCATGATGTGCATTCTGAGCTTAATACCAGATTCAGTCTAAGCATTGAGGTTTATGATAAATCAGAAAGAACTGGCTGTCTTCAAATAGAAAGTTGTTTCTCTGATCCAGTCTTATTGCCCTCAGTATCCTCTTTCCAAGAGTAATCTCCTCTGGCCTAGGATGCTGATTGCATGTGCTTTGTTAACCAGTTGGGACGCATCTGGGATGTCGCATTACAATAAGTTACCCTAAATGCAATCCTTTCCAAATCTTCCTTACAAAAACTTTCCTTTTGAAACAACTGGAATGTATAATGAATATATATATATATATATACATATATATATATACATATATATACACATATATATATGTATATATGTATATATATACATTATGTTATTACAATATATTATGTGCATAATATAATAACATTATATATAATGAATAATGAAACACCTTTCCTTTTGAAACGACTGGAATGTAAAAAAATATTAATAATTTCAACAATGCTTCAGCACTGGATTTGGGATATGACATCATGTTCGAAGTCTGCCACTCAGTATCTGTGACATTTTTCACATGTAAAATGAAGGGGGCAGGGTCACACAGCCAGTAAGTCTGTGAGTTAAGATTTAAACTCAGGTCTTCTTGACTCTGTCTGGCACTTCACTCAGCAGGCCTATGAACTTTTTTTTCCCCTTTTTCGTAAGGCAATTGGGGTTAAGTGACTTGCCCAGGGTCACACAGTTAATGAGTGTCAAGTGTCTGGTCTGAGATCACATTTGAACTTGGGTCCTCCTGACTCCAGGGCTGTTGCTCTATCCACTGCGCCACCTAGCTGCCCCTCACCAGGCCTATCAAAAGCATAGTATATAGATGGAGTCAGGAAGACCTATGTTCAAATTCAGGCAGCAGGATGTACTTACCTGAAAAAAATAGAAGATTGTTGCAAGGCTCAAATGAAAGAATATTATATACATATACTCTGTAAACCTTAAAGCTCTATATAAATGGCACAGGTTATTTTAAATATATGCTGCCACAGGCAAGATTTGATAGCTGTGTATATCAAATATACAGAAGTATACAGAAGTGTAGTTTGTATACTGTACATCTGAGTGGACATTCTTAAGTCATAATGGTGCAATATGTGTTTAAAATGGAAGATATGCGTGTTGCAGACATTGCCAAAGTATTATTGCTATTTGATTAAAATGTCTCCTGATTCCAATAACCACGATGCCATTTTTACTCATCAACAAGGCTATGGGAGGATGAATGGATCATTGGTGTGATATGGCAATCTTTAATGCACTGGGGATTAGTGTAACCCTACATGAGACTAGTCTTTGTATTTCACCATTGTCTGCTTTCTATTGCAGACTGGGTTCACTACAAAGTTACTGTAATTTTTTTGTTTCATTCATTTGTTTATTTATTATTTATTTTTAACATTCTTGTTAAGTTTTGAGTTCCAAATTCTCTTCCTCCCACCCTTTCCCCCACCCACTGAAAAGGCAAGCAATATGATATCAATTACACATGTGAAATCATGCAAAACATATTTCCATATTAGCCATGTAGCCAAAAAAAAGAAAGTGAGAAAATCATACTTAAATTTGTGCTTGGTGTTCGTCATTTCTCTCTCTGGAAGTGGATAGCATTTTCTCATAGTGAGTCCTTTGGCATTGTCTTCGATCACTGTACTGAAAAGAGTAGCCACATGGCTAATAATCATTACAACATTGCTGCAATTATGCGCAATGTTCTCCTGGTTCTACTTGTTTCACTGTGCATCAGTTCATATAGGTCTTGCCATGTTTTTCTGTAACCATTCCCCTCATCATTTCTTATAGCACAATAGGACTCTGTTACAGTCATAGGCCACAACTTGTTCAGTCATTCCTCTTGATGGGCATCCCCTCAGCTTCCACTTTTTTTGCCACCACAAAAAGAACTGCTATAAATATTTTTGTACATATAGGTCCTTTTACTTTCTCTTTGATCTCTTTGTAGTGGTATTGCTAGATTAAAGGGTATGCACAGTTTTATAATCCTTTGGGCATAGTTCCAAATTGTTCTCCAGAATGGTTCGATCAGTTCACTACTCCACCAACAATTCATTAGTGTTCCTATTTTCCCTCTTCCCCTACAGCATTTGTTATTTCTGATAGGTAAAAAGGTGGTACCTGACAGGTGTCTTAATTTGCATTTCTCTAATCAAAAGTGATTTGGAGCATTTTTTAAATATGACTATAGATAGCTTTGATTTCTTTTTCTGAAAACTGCATGTTCATATCCTTTGGCCATTTACCAGTTGGGGAATGGCTCTTATTTGTATAAATTTGACTCAGTTCTCTATTGATTTGAGGAATGAGGCCTTTATCAGAGAAACTTGCTGCGAAATTTTTTGATATTACTTCATTTTCTATAGTACCTTTTAGCAAAATGTGGTTTCCCTGATTATCTTTTTTTAAATAGGTCTATCTTTGATTTTGCTTTGTCTGAGATCATGATTACTACCCCTGCCTTTATGACTTCAACTGAA